AAGTTTCACCAATTTACATGATCGACGTTTTTTTTATTTCGATGTTTTCATAGTAAATCGGACAGGGCCTTAATACGATATAATAATTGAATTCATCTAAAGAAAGTCAAAGTAGCCACATCATTTGCTCAACGTGCCCTACGCAAATATCCAGATACGGTGGGTGTTATGTTTATTATGACAATAGATCCAAGTAAAATATCAACTTCAATCACACCATTTGCAATGATTGATAACCACAGTGCTCTCGAAGGAGAACAAGAAGTACTATTTACAATGCACACTGTTTTTCGTGTTGGTAAAATTAAACAGCCGACTGAGAAGAGTTGTCTTTGGGAAGTACCATTGACTATTACTGACGAGAGTGATCCACAACTGGCTTGTCTTACTGATTACATCAAAGAGGAGGTTCAAGGTACGAGTGGATGGAAAAGAATGGGTAAATTAATGCTCAAAGTGGGTCATTTCGATCAAGCTGAGGAACTCTACAGTGAATTACTCAAGAATGCTTCTGATGATAGAGATAGGGCATTTATATATCACCAACTTGGATGGTTGAAAAAAAATCAAGGTGAATACCAAAAAGCAGTTACTTTCTATGAAAAATCACTCGCAATCGAGCGAAAAACGCTTCCAGAAGATGATGCTTCATTAGCGCCTACTTATAACTGCATCGGTCTAGTGTATAACAACATGGGTGAATACTCGAAAGCACTGGAATATTACGAAAAATCACATAAAATCTTAGAAATATCTCTGCCTCCGACTCATCCCAATTTGGCTTCTTCCTACAACAACATCGGTCGAGTGTATGACAACATGGGTGAATACTCGAAAGCACTGGAATGTTTCGAAAAAGCAATTAAAATCTGGGAAATATCCCTGCCGAAAAATCATCCAAATTTTGCAGTAACATATAGTGCATTCGGAAGAGTGTATAGGGGCTTGAAAGAATACTCAAAAGCACTAAGTTATTTTCAAATTAGTATTTCAATTCGAGAACAAGCACTACCAGAAAAACATCCTAACCGGGCTGTTACGTATAGTGATATAGGTGATGTTCATCGACTAATGGGTGATTATGAAAGAGCACTGGCATTTCATCAGAAGGCGTTAAATATTCAAGAGAATGTAAAATGTAATCCACTTGAACGTGCAACAACATATATGAATTTAGGTGAAACTTATCGCGAAATGAAAGATTATACAACAGCATTAACATATTATCAAAAAGGATTAGAAATACGTGAAGAAAAACTCGCAAAAACACATCCTGATTTAGCTGTAATATATCACATTATGTCGAAATTATATTTCTCGACTCAAAAATATAGTATGGCAATGAAATATGTTCAACAAGCAGTTGAAATTGGACAAGAAAAGTTACCTGCAACTCATCCGCATCTCGTAGAATATAGAGAAACATTTGAAAAGATTCGTAAGAAACAGTAAAATAGATCATTGGATGTTTTTCTTCTTCTAGTATTTACTCAAATAAATTGCTTTGATAACTATTGATTATTTACTATTCGCCCGTACGCGTGCGCGCGACCAGAAAGATCTGCCGTGTATCCAGATACGGATACGCATAGAGCGGACCACACCGGACTGGTAAGGCAATGCACGTAGGTATCACGTCCGTACGACGTCCGGGACCTACGCACATAATGTAGGCCTTCCCAGAGTACTACACTACTTCGCCGCAACAGAGTGACACGAAGAATCTATCTGGGTCAGGCAACGAAGCCGCTCTGACAGGCTATCATACAACCGAGGACTAGGACAAAGTAAGATAATACGAACCTCTCGTCTGATGATACATCCTGGAGATGTTCGCTGTTGTTAAAGACGAACAATAGAACTTTATCTGAAAAAAAATTTGATATCTAAAATGAAACAGGAAAGTAATTGAGATTTTTATTGTCAATTGGATAAAAGAAGAAAAAAAGCAATTATTATAGTAAATGATTCATATGAACAAATTATAAAGAAACAAAAAGAAAACGAAAATGTAGTTTATTTAATTTAAATACAAAAAAAACATAGTTATGACTTCTAACATTGTAAGTTGCATGTATGAAACGAAAGAAAATAATTCATTATGTTTAATTAAAACAAACATGCAATGATTATATTTTTACGAGAAGCATCTTGATGTACAATTGAGTGTCAACCATTCCAAAACGCAGAATCGAAGATCTAGAACGAAAAAAAATGACACCAGTAAATCAAATGAATAGATGATATATCGTACTATTTACATTGATGAATTCAAAAATCTATTGACTGTTTCAATATGAGTTACATTATTGCTGTTGATCGTTGTGAACACACACTCTAAAAGAAGAAGAAAAAAGAAAGAAAGATATAATGAATGTATAATTTGAGTAGTGAAAAATGAAATACGATGACTACAATTTGTTTCATTCGAATTTGCACCACCGAAAACGAAACGAAAAGATTGAATACTTAATCATAGTTATTGTAGATCGATTCTTCTTGTTCGATACGTGAACAGATTCTAAAAAAGAGGTAAGAAAAATTAATATACAATATATTTTAGCTAGATAAAGGAGAAAGAAAATGAAAGAACTGTACTTAGAATAATTCCAGCTTGCAGCCCTGAAAACGAAAAGAAGATATTGAATACATACTTATAGTTATTTTAGATTACTTGATTGTTCATGATTCATACCTCAATACAATCTAAAGAACAAGAAAAAAGGAATCAGTCGTTTATTTATATAACATGAAATACAATAAAATCTTAGTACTTCGAATAATTCCGGCTTGCACCCCTGAAAACGAAAAGAAAACATTGGATACATACTTAGAACTATTTTTGATTATTCGATTGTTCATGGTCGATATGCAAATACAGTCTAAAAAACACAAGAGGGAAAAA